GTGCATTCGCTCGTGTGTGTGTGTGAATGTGTGTAAGTGTGAGTATGTGTGTGCTGGGCTGTGGCTGAGGTCAGGCTGTATGTGAGTGTGAGTGTGTGTGAGTGTATGTGTGTGCGTATGTGTATGTGAGTGTGAGAGTGTATGTGAGTGTGAGTGTGTGTGAGTGTGTGTTTGTGAGTGTGTATATGAGTGTCTGTGAGTGTGAGTGTGTGTGTTTGTGAGTGTGTATATGAGTGTCTGAGTGTGAGTGTGAGTGTGTATGTGAATGTGTGTGTATGTGAGTGTATGAGTGTGTGAGTGTGTGTTTGTGAGTGTGTATGTGAGAGTGTATGAGAGTGTATGCGAGTGTGTGTGTAAGTGTGAGAGTGTTTGTGAGTGTGTATGTGTGTGTATGTGAGTGTAAGAGTGTGTGTGTGAGTGTGCATGTGAGAGTGTGTGTGAGTGTGTGAGTGTGCTTGTGAGTGTGTGTTGCATTTACTAACAAGGAATCCACGGTGCACGGGAGCAGCAGCGTCACCGGCCAGAGCAGCAAGCAGCAGCCCAGGAAGCAGGGACCAAGATACCCAGGCGTCCCCTTGTTACTGAGGCAGGACATTCTGTGACTAGCAGCCAGCCAACTGGCACTGGGGCCAGCTCTGTGCCTGCCCAGGACACGCCCACCCATGATGGACCTCCGTCCCTTCACGTTCCATGTAGACAGAAGTGTCCCACCTTCTCTACCGAGTCACGGGGTCAATGACCAAAACACAAGCTAGATGGTATTTTACTAAATCTATTCCTTAGAACAAAGATGATCCATCTTCATGAAAAAGAAAGAAAAGGAAGGAAGGAAGGAAGGAAGGAAGGAAGGAAGGAAGGAAGGAAGGAAGGAAGGAAGGAAGGAAGGAAGGAAGGGGAAACCACCCAAAGCAGAAAGAGAACTTAAGCCACCCGCAACCCCCACCTCCTGCTGCTGCTGGGGTCTCTCTCCTGGGCAGGAGTCAGTGATGGCGCGGAGCTGCTGCTTCCCCTCACCACGCGACTCGATGCCTTCTTTAAATATTCTTTGCAAGTATGTTTTTACTGCTATGCAACATTCCATTAGATGGTCACGTACTAACCTACTGGCCTCGTATTAGTGGAGATTAGGGCTCCCTCCAATTTTGCACAGATTAAAAAAATTTATGTTGATATTTCCAGAAAGTATTTGTACACATCTCTGAGTATATCCCTAGGATCCATTCCTCAAAGCAGACTTATCAGATTCAATCATTAGCAAACTTGTTGAAACTTTTGGCATATTTTCCCAAGCCTCCTCTCAAAATGTTTATCTCTTTTTTTTTTGTTTGTTTGTTTGTTTGTTTTTTGTACTGGGGATTGAACCCAGGGACACTTAACTACTGAGCCACACCCCAGCCCCTTTTATCCTTTGTTTGGAGACAGGGTCTCACTGAGCTGCTTAGGGCCTCACTAAGTTGCTGAAGCTGACTTTGAACTCGTGATCCTCCTGCCCCAGCCTCCTGAGCCGCAGGGATTACAGGCATCCACCACGGCACCCAGCATGTTTATCTTACTTTCATTCCAACCAGCAGTTTCTGAGATTTCCTGTTTTCTCATTAGCAATAGGCATCACTGTTTATAAAAATATATATTTATGAAGTCCATGGATAAAAAATGCTTTTTGTCTTTCTTTTCAAACACTTATTGAGTATTTACTGTGTTAAATACTTTCCTGGGCATTTTCACAGACGTTATTTCACTTTAATTCACAATAGCCCTTTGAGTCAGGTAGAATACCTCCTCTTAATAAAGGAGGAAGTCAAGTCTTGCATAAATTTAGGTTCCAAGCTGAGCTCTGCTGTGTGCTCTGCAGAAGACTCCTACCCTCTCTGAACTCAAGAATATCAACAATCTGACTTAGAAAGTTCCTCTCTGTTTCATAATTTTAAGTCCCACACTCAAGTGGACCAAGAAGCTGGAACAGATGCTATAATATTTCTAGCTTCAAAGAAGCCTAACATTTCATAACCAGAACCTGTTCTTGGCAGCTCTGGGGACTAACTAGAAAAGAACCTAACACAATTATCAGATCCTCGAAAAGACAGGGTCTCTACCATATATGACAGGACCTTAATATATGTTTGTTGAACAAATGAGCCAATGTGGACTTGATGATTTCTACCCACATATTAACCTACATCTCCATTTTCCACCACAATTTCTGCCTCAGGGCCTTTGCATAAATGATTTCCTCTGCCTGAAATGCTTCTCCTCCCAAATTCTTACCTGGATCATTGCTACTCCTCACTAGGGCTCAGCACAAAAGTCACCTCACCCAGACTGTTAGGGCCCTGTCTTCCCTTTGATGGCCCTGGGGATACAGCACCCAGCAGTTCTTTCAGACACTACAATTCATGGATAGTAGAGACCATTGCTCAAGGGCAGTTTCTCTCACTAAACCACAAGCTCCAGAGGACAGGGCCCCTATCACCCTGTTCATCTTTATGTTCCCAGTACCCACCATGTGCCCAGGCCAGAGCGAGCACCCCCTAAATACATTAAAGGAACATAATGATATCTGTGCGCCTCTTGACATCAACACGAGGATGAAACTTCACGGATATAGGGGTACTCCACCCTCAATCCTACCCACGCAGTGAGAAGATCCACTAGAACTATGGTGTGGAACCCAGAGAGGTCAACCTGCAAAGGTCTTGGATACGGTGTTCCTTGTGTGATTTATGAAACCTGCTGTGGATGTGTTCTTAATGATTTTTTTTAACGGTGGCAAGACTCTGAGGAGTGTGGTGGGTGGTTCTCTTCTGCGCAGACGGAGCATCCTTCATCCAAAAGTCTGAAATCCAAAAGCTCCTGAATCGGAAACTTTCTGAATACGGACTTACCACCACAAATGGAAAATTCTACACTAACCCCACCGACGGCGTGCAAGTGCCCTACAACTACTGTGTACAATTAGCTGCAGATAAGGCATAAATAAAACATAAATGAATGTCATGCTTAGGCTGGACTTGCTTCCCACCTCATTGTATGTGGGCAGATACTTCAAAATTGAAAACTAAAAATAAAAATTCCCAAATCTGGTCCCAAGCACTCTGAAATAAGAAATAATCCATCTTGTCTTCAGATGGTTTTCTTCAGAAATAAAATAAGACTGACTGACTGTAGAGTTGGTAAAATTAGTTTGGAAGGCCATTTCTTCCAAGGCAAACTTTTTTTTAAAAAAAATTAAACCCATCAGAATTAAATATCTATTTAGAGTCGGGTCAGAACCTACCCAGTACAACTGTACTCATTCTGTCCCTTGGGGACAGAAAAGCCATTGACCTAGTTTCTCCATTGCATGTGAGAGAAGCTTGATTGTCATTTCCTTATAATTAATTCACATTTCTCAGTAGCTCCTGGCCTAGGAAAGGTCCCAGGTTTGTTTTTCTGAGGAGGTGGGGAAGAATTAAATAGATACTTTGTAACCAGCAAGCCAATTGTTCTTGTTTCCAGGGGGGGAAGTGACATACTTATTGTCCCCTCTAGCCAGTAGCAGAAAGAAGAGGGTGCTCCAAGTCCCGTGTACTTCCTTAAGCACATAGCATTTATTAGGCTTAATTGGCACACAAATATAAGGAACAAGTACTTATTTTCCCCTCCCTCCCTCAGCCACATAGAAAGATGAAATCGCAGAGACACTCACGTACAAACACACCCAAGCTCTCATGACCTGGGACATACTCAGTCTCACATATTACCCTGTTCTCTTTATTAGGGTCAGTTAAAAAAAAAAAAGTTTTTTTTTCTTCTTTTTTTCAAAATCGAGAAAGCAAAGATCATTCAGAAGAAAAAAAGGGGGGAAAAATAAAAAATCACAAACTTGGTTTTTGAGTATCAATAAAATTAAAAGCTCTTGGTCAGCTCCCATGCTGGATTTCCTGTTATTACTTAATTAGAATTCCTATTTATAAATAAATAGTACCAGTAAAATATTACATCTGGGGACCCCTACAATAACGTCTTACTTACACACACATTTTTTTTTAATACTGTTTTCTGCTGTCGATACACACAATTGAGTGTCGGCCTTTGGTGCTGGTGCGGATTCTTTGGAGCTCAACGGTGAGCAGATGTCGCCTCTTGAGGACCTGAAGATTCTGCTTTGCATCCCGTGGGTGGGCAGGACGCCTGGGACTGGCTTTGTTTGTTTTAATCACAAAGAATATTTATGTTTTTGGTTTTTTTCTCTTGTCGGCACAGAGCTTGCTCTCTGCTTATCAGAGTCCTGCCCGCAGGTCAACCAGGGCTTTTTTAAGTTTTTTTTTTTCAAAGCAAGATTTCCGGACGGGGAAACTATAGGCCACTTTTTTAGCGACAGATGGCGGGAGAGACCCGGAGCTGGGGGTCAGTGGGGCGGAGATCGGCCTGATCCCAAGTCCATCTGTGCAAGTCAAAGGCAAAATTGGGCACCAGCGAACTGGCAGAGGCAGAGACCAATGGGAAACCAGCCGGGGACGTGGGGACCTTCTGGGAGACATCACGCGGCAGAGGTAGGTGCTTCTCTCAGACAGAAGAGGAAGGCCAATGTTAAGTTTTAGGGCTGGTTTTTGCCCAGGGAATCCCGCAAGTGTCATTTGGAATCTCCCTCCAATAAGGGACTGGGTCCCGTTAAGAAAATCAGAAGAAAAAAAATATATTATTATTTATTATATAACAAAGTCGACATTAACACCGAGACAGCGCGAGGTTCCCAAGATCCACCAGGATGAGACACTCACTGAGCAGGATGTTCTGGAACCCAAAAGAAGGCATCGGGAGACATGAGGGGGCCCAGGCGGCTGGTGAGGAGCAGGAGTCCTGCGTGCATGCGACGCCTCTTCTCTTGGTTTTTGAAGTTTGGAATCAAAATGACAGAGTCAGATTTTTTTTTTGGATGGTGGTTGGTTTACAAGCTATTGATTGGATCATCGCCCGGGGGGGCCCGGAGGGGGGGGATGCAGAGTGGAAAACCACGTGGGGGGGGGTCCTCCTTGCGCCCATCTCTCTCCCTCGCCCCTCTCCTCTCTCTCAGCAAATGCCTGCGGCAGGGCCACCCGGCTTCAGCTGTTCTCGCTCCACTCTGGCACCATGCCGACCCCGTGCACGGAGTGGTAGTGCTGGGGGGACAGGGTCCTGGGCACCCCGTGAGAGTACAGGAACTCAGGGGGCTGCAGGCTACCGGGGGACTGGAGGCCAGTCTGAGGCCCACACTGCCTGACCACAGGCTGGTGGGCCACGGAGGTCTGGTGCTGAAACATCCCCTCTCCGAGCTGCGGGGAGCCGTGGTTGGCCATGCCGGCTAGCCTGGGGACAAGGGGCCCCGAGGTGAAGTGAGCCGAGAAATGCTGGTAGGGGATTCTGTCCATGGGCTGCACCGTGGTGACCGTGCAGCTGCTGTAGGAGGGCATGCTGGGCCACGTGTTGCAGCTGATGTCCTCCAGGCTGGGCACGGGCTCGCTGGGCGGCGCGGAGCTGGCGTACATGCAGGCCTGTCGCTGGGCCGACTCTGTCCTGTAGGAGGCGCTCAGGCCCTGCTGCTGCGGGTAGCTGGGGCGGTAGAAGGGGTCCTCTTCACTGGGGGGTGTCTCCATGTAGGGCTTCTTGTAGGGGTGGTCTGCGGTGGAGCATTCCTCATCTGCGGAGAGAGGGGGACAGGGACCTGTGAGACAGGGGCCAGCGGCCCGACAGCCAGGAGCAGAGATGGCCACTTGGCCACAGGACTGGAGAAGGTCAGCCCCAACCTCCGTTCTGATGAGAAGAGGGAGCTGGCTGGCCCAGCGCTCGGCTGTGACGCTCTAAGTGAGCAGCCTGGCCCTTCTCAGCTCCGTGTCTGCATCTGGAAGATGGAAAGGTACAAGCAGCTCTTCCTACGCAGGGGGCGGAGGGGACCCTTGGGAAAATGTGGGTTAGGCATTGGCATGAGGAGATGTTCAGTACAGTGTCACTATCCTCTTCCCTCCTCCCCAGCCTGTCAACTCCACAAAGATGGGACATTGTCTGACCTCTCCATTACCATGCGCCCAGACGGATACCCGCTCAGGAATAATGCCATCGACAGTATCAACAGTAATAACAAGAACACATACAGTGCCCGTTCTGCCTAAGCATCTTCCAGGAGGTGACCCATTTAATCCTCCCAACAACCCGTGAGGTGCTTGCGCTATTAATCTTACTCTTTAGATGATGGAAAAGAAATGGAGATTAAAAAATTTCTCAGGATCTCATATGGCTGATAAATGGTGCCAGACCCAAAGTAATCTGACTACCAAGTCCCTGGTCCCTGCTCCATGAAGAAGACATGCAGTCAATATTTGTGCAGTGGATGGATGGATGGATGGATGGATGGATGGATGGATGGATGGATGGGTCAATGGACAGATGGATGGGTAGATGGATGGATGAATGGGTATAGATCATGGATAAAAGGATGTAGGGACATATGGATAGACAGAAGGATGGATGGATGGATGGATGGATGGATGGATAGATGGATGGATGGATGGGCAGACTGAGGAATCAATGGACAGATGGATGGGTAGATGAATGGATGGACGTATGGCCGTATGGATGGACAGATGGATGGATGGAAGAGGAATGGATGGATGGATGGGCAGACTGAGGAATCAATGGACAGATGGATGGGTAGATGAATGGATGGACGGTTGGACATATGGATGGACAGATGGATGGATGGAAGAGGAATGGATGGATGGATGGATAGATGGATGGATGGATAGGTGGGTGGGTGGATGGGTGGGTGGATGGATGGATGGATGGATGGACGGACGGACAGACTGAGGGGTCACTGGACAGATGATGGGTAGATGGATAGATGGGTAGGTGGGTGGATGGATGAATGGACAGATGTATGGATGGACAGATGGATGGATGGATGGAAGGGCAGATGGCCCGATAGATGGTTGGATGAGGGGATGGATGGACTAATGGATAAAAGGATGGGTACCTGATGAATTTCCTTTGCAGACACCCTATGTAAGGAGGTCCCCAGTTAGTATTTGTTGAGTTGGTACAAGTTAAAGTGCTGCTGTGTCTTTACAAAACAGCTCACTTCCCTCCTCTATGCACCAGTCCGTCCCTGGTGTTAGATGGCAGAGATAGTTCTGTCTCTGAAAGAGGGTCTCCCCCAACCACTCCGGGCCATTGGCCCCTTTGGGAACTAACAAAAGCACTGGGCTAGCTGTGCCGTTCCTGGGTGTCATCCTAAAGAACAGAAGCCAGCCTACTGTCACCACGCAGGCCTGCCAACCACCAAGCAGCCCCGTTCACAATGGCAAAGTTGCAGAACCAGCCTGGGTGTCTGCCCACAGATGACTGGATGAGAAAATGTGCTCTCCACACACGACGGAGTTTGATTAGAACGGCACTTGGGAGCATTATGTCAGACAAACAAGCAGACCCGGAAAGTTAAGGACCATGTGTTTTCTCTCATGTGTGGAAGTGAGAGGGAAGAAATTGTGTGTGTATTTGGGGGGGGTCTCCTGCAAATAGAGATCACAGGACAGAGGAAGAAGGCGGGGAGGGTCGCTGGTGAATGAAACAGACCAAACAGTATTATTATATAGTGTGCGTACACAACAAATTCACAACTGTCCCATGGTCGTGTGTCATTATAGTGCACCGATTTTAAAATATGCGAGGCCGGGCTGTCTCCAAGAAAAATACACTGAAATATGACACAGTGAAAGGGACACAGAGTTCTGCACATGACCTCAGGAGGTTCAAGGACCCCTACAACCAGCCTCCAGGAGAAGGAGCCTCAGACTTGCCTCTGACTCTTGTACTTGGTCCCTGTGTGACCCTAGCAGGGTGGCCACCTCCCAGACCCTTGTCATTCCTGAGGGAGCACCAGTGACCCTCACCTCACTGGGTGATCAGGAATGAATAAGAGGGAGCATGGGTTTCCCTGGTGGGCATCATCAAGGGCAGCTCTGGTCACTGGGTGATGTGCCCGTCAACCTCACGGTAGAGCTGTTCTCATCTCATAGTCCCCCCTCAACACATCAGCATCATTCCTGTTCCTCAGAGGCAGACACTGACGCTCAGAGAAGGGACCTGTCCAAGGTCAGCCAGCTGGGAAGGAGCAGAGGCCAGGTCCGACTTCCTCTGCCTACACACCTTGCCTCCAGGTCACCCAGGCAGGCAACAGATGTTTACTGAGCTCCTACCAAGTGCCAGGTCGGCTGCCAGGTTCTGGAGAGGGGAGATGCCATCCTGGTCGGGGGGCACATGCCCGCCTGGCCTCACTCATCCTCCTGGAGGAGTTGAGTGGGGAGGCCTGGCCCTCTGGGACTCCAAATGTCACTCACTGGACAGAAACTCCCTGGGCTTTGAACAGGTACATAAAACAGCCCCCAACCCCAGGTTGAGAAGCTCGGGCCTGGGTTCCACCGAACGCCTCCATTTGCAACGACCCCCCACGTGAGACCCACAGATAGGGTCGTCTGTACCCGCTGAATGACAAGCAGGTTTATTTTTTCAGCTAACGTCTTTCTGGAACACATCTGGGACCCATAGGGTGCCCAACAAATTGCACAAAATGAAAAAAAAAAAAAAAAAGAAAGAAAAAGAAAAATGCGGTCACTCTTCCAGGTGCTCTGACAGTATGGTGCCAACCACCCAGATGTCTGAAGACATCCAGATGACATCCATCGCCTTTCAACCTGGAGTTCTTTTGGAGTCTCGAAGCCACTGAGGCACCCAGCTTGTTGGGGTCCTTGCTCCCGCCTGCCTTCTCTCCCCCCCTTGCTCTCCTTCCTCCTTCCACCCACCAGATCCATAAATTCTGCATGTTTTTCCATCGCTGCTGGGCCCATAACCTTTGGTTTTTCTCACTAAGCCGGGGCGTTCCCCTTTTCAATAATAGAAAGTGCAGCTGCAGGGTACCCTTGGCAAGAGAAAAAAAAAAAAAAAAAAGCCTAATAAACAACTTTAGTTTCTTATCCTTTTCCAGATTTATAAAAAAGCAAAAAAAAAAAAAAAAACAGGGGCGGGGGGGGGGATGGGGATCATAAGCAAAAGGCCGGAACACATTTTGGAAAATCGTAAAATTATACATTCCAGTCTTTAATATCCCCGTGATCCCATGCAGGGCCCTAAGGAACACTGGGTTGGCTTCTTGATGAAAGAAGGTCCCGGGCACGCCCCCCATTCCTCTCCATCCTCATCAGAATTTACAGAAATTCCAAAGCCAGGGTCCAAATTTCAGGTCAGTGATGATAAATGGGTAGAGTCTCTTGTGTTTATTTGGGTTATGGTTTAGTGCCTCTCTTCTTATTGGCCAAGTCCTGTTGGGCTTCCAGGGTTGGGGACTGGGCTGTCACCAAGCACCGAGTCTTCTGACAAAGTGAAGCTACCGCTCAGCTCCAGAAAATATATATATTGTGTGGTCAGTTATATCGCAACTCTCCCTGGCCCCAACTGACTCTCTTGGATAACAGGGAAGTTCTCTCTGGTTCTGATCATCCAGTACAGCATTGCATGGTGAAAAACCCAGTTCTTTGGAATTTTCTAGATGGTTTTGGTAGACTGGCTTTAGTGATGAATCCGGAACACAGATTTTAAGGCACAGAACCATGGCTATGTGGTCATGGTTGAACCACTGGACCATTCCAATTTCAGTTCTTGACTGTAAATGGGATAATACCTGTTCTTGTGAGGTTTAATTGAGATAATACTTGGGCTATGCTGTGGCTCAGTGGTAGAGCACATGCCTAGCATGTGTGAGGCACTGGGTTCCATCCCCAGCACCACATAAAAATTAATAAACAAAATAAAGATATTGCGTATCCATCTACAATTAAGAAAAATATAAAAAAAATACTTGGGCTAATGTAGTTTCTGTCTTCCTTGCACAAGAAGTCAGCAGAGAGCTTTGAAATCTCTTGTGTGTTCAAATAACCACTTTTGAGCCTTTTTCCTCTTTTCCCTCTCAGAAGGCTGGACAGATGGTTCTCTGAAGGTCAGCCACTACCTGGAGGTATCTGGGCAGGTTCCAGAGCTGAAGACTCACAAAGCTGCTTTTCAAATCACTAATCCCGACGAGCAAATCTGGTCGCAGTGTCCAACTGGGGCATTCCCCTTCCTGATGGGGCTCATTCACTTGAAAGACCTTTGTCTGGTCCTCAGGGCATCTATGAGTCAAGACTTCTGGCTCACAGAACAGTGCTCTTCCTGACACGTGGGGGCTTTCTGTCTTCATGCTCTGCCAACCATGAGCAGCAGCAACCTTGAACCCTGACTGATGGGCAGGCGGTGGGTGAACGGATGGATGGATGGACAAGTGGATGGATGGGCAGGTGGATGGATGAGTGGACAGAGGAATGAATGGATGGATGGATGGATGGACAGGTGGATGGATGAGTGGACAGAGTAATGAATGGATGGACAGGTAGATGGATGGGTGGGCAGAGGATGGATGGATGGATGAATGGATGGATGGATGGACAGGTGAATGGATGGGTAGATAGGTGGATGGATAGATGGACAGGTGGATGGATGGACAGGTAGATGGATGGGTGGACAGGGATGGATGGATGGATGGATGGACAGGTAGATAGATGGACAGGTAGATGGATGGGTGGATGGGTGGATGGATGGACAGGTGGATGGATGGATGGAAGAAGGAATTTTGTGTGTGTGTGTGTGTGTGTGTGTGTTTTCCCATGCTCTTAGCATTTGGGTTAAAATGAAAAGGACTAGAATGGTACTACAGGAAAATCCTCAACTAATGATCCAAAGACTCAAGTTCAACTGTCACCTGGTCACCATCTGAAATCATTCAATTCATCTGCTGGCTTAGTAACTCTCTCCCCCAGTGAGAATACAAGTTTCCTGAGAGCAGGGGCCCTTTCTCCTGGCTCTTGGCTTATCGCAAGTACCCAGCGCCGTGCCCAGTCCATAGCAAGTGCTCAATAAATATTTGTCTGATGAATTTCTGCCCCAGATCTACCACTCATCAACCACATGACCCTAGAATCTAACCCTGGCTCTCATCCTCTGTTTGGCCCCTCTGGCTCCGAGGGTCCCGTGAAGGAATGGGTGTGGAAATGCTTTTTAAAACACACACCACTGGGAAAAGGGACTCTGCAAAACCCTCTCCAATATCCGGCTCCCCTCCATCTCTCAATCCCTGGCTACCCTTTGAATACCCTCTTCTGTCATTAGCTGTGCCAAGATCTTCATTAGGGTCATGTTGGGTTGCTAATGGGAGGGGGCTGAGGATCAGGGGGGGGGGGGGGGGGGAAGGACGAGGGCTCTCCCAGGCCCGGGTCCTGGATTTGTCTGAGTGGCATTGATAAAGGACCTTCCCAGCTTTTCTTTTCTTTTTCTTTCTTTCTTTTTTTTTTTTTGACTCAACCCACAGGGAGAGATAGTTTGGAGACAGCAGGGTCCACACACGAGGATGGCCTCTGGCCTGGCGGGCCCTTTGACATCTCCCTGGGCCCGGCTCCTGGGCTGGTTGGAGAGGAGACAGACAATGGGGGGAAGTCAGATAGCGGCCAGCGGGGGCGAGGAGCCACCCATGGAGCTATCACTTAACGGGAATCCCAAACTGGAAGGAAACCTCGGCTGATTCCTTATCACGGGCCCATGTGGAAGCCGATGATGAATTGCTATTTGTTGTCTCCCAGGCAGGACAGACAGAGTTCATCTGGAATGTTCCCTGTCACCGGGAGCTCCCTCTTCGGGGGAGCGGTAGGTGAGAGGGCAGAGGTTCCTAGAAAGGTGACGGTCCCCTCCAAGGTGCACACCGGGCACATTCCAAGTCCACAGGCCTAGGTGGGCATCACAGGCTGGGCTCCTCACTAGCTGGGTGACTGGGGCAAGTTCTCTGAGCTCCAGATTCCAAATCTCCAAATCGGGGCAAAGGGGACAATCCTTCACCGCGTTATCTGCAGCCAGTCACCGAGGCCTGATCCCACCCACACCTCCAGCTTCTCCCACACCCTGCTCTGGGCCACCATCTCACGCCTCTGAGCCCGCCACAGGTCCCTGGTATCAATTCTTGTCAATGAAAAGTGACTGCTTCCGAATGCAAAGAAAACCCTAGTCACGGCTCTCGAGGGCCACTTACCCACCCATGGGCAAGGGGAGCAGCTGAAGCCCCTGATTCAAATGACCGGTGACACTGGCACAGAGCCGGTCCCTGCCCTTCCTCTTTGACATTTACTACCACTTTCTCCAAGAGTCACAGATTTTTGGTCACTCCCCAGAGAGGGCAGTCTTCCTGCCCAAGGGGAGTACCTAGGGACAGCCCCTCACCTGCGCCCAGCCCACTCCCTTTGGGGCTCACTCTCCGATCACCCTCCCCGCATGCCGCTCCAATCTGACATCCGTTAGCACCGAGGGCATCTCCTTGAGAGCACCCGACAGCAGTTTTCATTCAATAATAACTAGCATAGTGTTTAAGCCACATGTACCAGCGTGAACTCTGGGACAGGGCCCCGTACAGTGGGTGCCTCCGAGATCCTCATCTTGCACGCAGGCCCAGAAAGGGGAAGCCACTTGCCCTCAGACACACAGCTTCAAAGGGTCAGCTACTTCGATGATTTCTGCAATGAACCAACTGGCCACACGAAGCTTTTATCTGAGGCGTCTGCAAATACCCCAGGAAAATCAAATGCTCCCATAATCAAAGAGGGCCACGGGCCTTGCTTTCAAAGGCTCTCGCTCTACTCCCCAGGATGCCTTCATAAGGACACTGCTGTAAATATTGAATATAAAATGGGTCTTGGTTCTTTTTAACTTCTTCCTCCCCTTCCTCTGGACTGGCATTCATTTAATCGACAGAACTCCCTAATTCAAACCTGGTGAGCTTGAATCCGCACCGTGGGACCCAGTCTCCAGAGCAGGCCTCGGGCAGAAGAGGAAATCTGGAGAGTGTCGCGACGAGGAGTGGGAAGAGAGACAGGAGGGAGCCGGGGTGAAGCACACAGGCTCCAGATTTCAGTCCAGGTCTGGGTTCGAATTCTGCCTTCAGGAACTGGCCGGCACATCTCCCCACCTTCCTGACCCGAGCGTCCGCTTCCCAGCTAATCCCAGCACCTACAGAGTAGTGTTCAAAGGCTTGTCCTGGGATCAAGAGAGGACGCCCTTCAGGAAAACACAGACAGGACCTCTGTGCAGGTCCCAAGTTGCGGAGGATATTCCTAAGCCCCACCCTGGGCCTTGAGAGGCAGAGGCATCTGCAGGCATCTGTTTCCAGGGCGTCCAGTGGCCGACGTGCTGGGAGTTGGGCCAGGGGCTGCTGGGGTGGTACTGTTCAGGCCTTCAAGTTGCAAGGATGTGGGTGGACTCAGGCAAATCAGGAAGTCGGGCCTCCCCCAGGTCAGCTCTCCAGGCCCCCACTTGAGGATCAATGGCTGTTCTCCCCTCCTTCCAAATGCAAGACGGTGAATGTCAGAGAGCCTGGTACTTTCCTCACAGAATCCCAGCTACAGGGACAGACATCTGCCAAAGCACCCATTTCTATCGGGGCTCATGGGTGAGCTTTTTTTTTTTTTCTAAAAGCTCAGGCCCTGGTGGCTGGACTTCCAAAGTTAGCTACTGAGGCTCTGGGGTTAAACAGGCCTTGCTAAGGACGAAGAGCAAAAGGGCTGATACTCCCTGGGCCAACGGTGAGCCCACACAAGACACGCAGGATTTTACAATGTCTTCATACGAAGCCAATCCGACAAGGCCTTCCACGAGCTCCAGCAGATGGTCTCTTTTTTTTTTTTTTTAAAGAGATGCAGTTAAGTAGGTCCATATGCACACAAACTTCCAAATACCAAATGTGGGGTTCACCCCGATTGGTTCTGAAGACCACAGGTTGCAAGCCCTAGGGTACACTGTCCCGTGTACCCTTCCCTCACGCCGTCACCTCAGCGGGCCACCATCTCTTGGCTTCCTCCTGGGACTCAGTTTCTGGGGTGATCATCTGCCCTTAGTTCATCACGGTCACCATCTACAGGGTGCTCTGGGAGACTTATTCCTCCTTCACGAAGTGGGAAACTCAGGCTCAGGGAAGTTCAGACACCTTCCTGAAGTCACACAAGAAGCCAGGAGCAGAAGGGAGGTTCGAACCCGCGTCTCTCTGGCTTGGCCGCCTGCACCTGTCTGTAGCTTACACGGAGCCAATGTGTACGGAAGCCCAATGTGGCCACGCTACCTATGTCGGCCACTCTGATTCTGGCTCCCAAGAGATTTTCTTTGTTGGTGCTCGTAGGTGAGCCCTTGTGGTCTCAGCTGACTCAGGGAGAAGCCATTACTTCTCATACAACAAAGAAAAGCACGGAGGGATTCAGACACCAGCTGAAGTCAGTTGTGGCTGTGTGTGTGTGAGAGAGAGAGTCCACCTGGGAGACACAGAGGAGGCCTACAGAACTTCTAGAAGGTTCCCCGGGAGCACAGCTGGGAACCCATCCAAGGAACACCGGAAGCAACCTCTCTGCCCACCAGTGGGGAGGGCCACACAAACCCTGCTGGCCCCTGCAGACCACACCTCTTCAGCAGTTAGCAAGAATGGGTGGGTCTGGGACCACAAATGGGTATCTGAAGCACAACCTAGGGTCCAGGACACAGCTTAGTGGCAGAGAAGGTCCTTATCATGCACAAGGCCCTGGATCACACCCCAGCACCATACACATACACCCTAAAGGTTTTTGGTTTTTTTTTTTTTTTAATGGATGTTACAAAATACATGTACTCTAATGTCACCTGTGTTGGAAGTGTCCTTTGAAGACTATCTATCTCTGTGTGTGTGTGTCATGCATGTAAGCTTGAGTATGTGGATAAAATAGATCTGGACATTTTAAATACGTCTTCTTCAAGGAAAGGGCTAGAACGGAGAAAGTCAGGTCCAGGGAGCCTTTAGTTTTACTTGCATGATCTGAATTTCTGATCATCTACATGTATTTGTGTGTTGCTTGCGCCTTTCTAATCAATCAGTGTTACCATGCATGCTCCCACCCCCTCCCAACCCCCCAAAGGAAGGAAGCGGCGGCGGGGGGGCGAAGGTGGGGGGGCTTTGTGCTCACCTTTCCTCTTGGTGCAATGGTAAATTTGGCTGTGCTCCTGGGGCAGCGGGTATGGGTTGGGTGGGGGCAGAAGGTCCTGGGAGGGGCCGGAGATCCCATTTTCACACTGGTACTGGGACCCTAAGTTGGACGAGGTGGAGAGAGCTCGAGGTTCACTGCTGAAGGGACTGTGGTTGGAGGCCACTTTCTGCCTCACGGTGCTCCTGGGAACCACGGGGTATTCTTTACTGAAAGAGAGAAGACGGGAAATAATGTTTATCAGTGCGTTGATACAGAGTCCCCTGCCAGCTAAGCTACAGAGTAAAGAATCCACCTGAAAAGTCATTGAAAAAATAAGCAAAAGGGTCTCTCATGAGCAAAGCAGCCGAATTATGCTCGTGTGTATTGTATTCTGAAAAGCCACACCTGGGCACTAATTTTTCATGTCTTATACATTAGGCAAGTAAATTTGGGAGAAGCTCTCTATGTATCAAAAAGGCCAATGGGTACCCCCAGGTAAGAACCCCTCTTGACCATCAATAAGCACACAAAGCTTTTTGAAATATTTTCACCTAGTCTACCATCTTTGAACTCCCTAATTCAAGAGCCAGATGAACTGAGCAGTTGCCTACACTCCACCTCAGGGTGTCCACCTTTAAAATGGGACTGAGGTCTTTCTTTGCCCCGAGTGAGTTAAGAATGGAAGCAGACCACCTAGGATGGCCAGATGTGACCTTAGGTTACTCTAATCTGGACACAGTCCCACTTTTGTCTTAGGATTTCCTTTTGAGCTACTGTCCCTCTGTCCCCTCTGGTGTGCCAAAGCTCTCTGTGGCATCTGCAAAGTAGGGAAAATAAACATCCCTGGTTCAAAGGGTGGTTGAAGGAAGAAATGAGCTGAGAGTGAAAAAGGTTCAGAAATGACCACGGCATACAGGAGGAGCTGAGCAAGTGGTCACCTTCATCACAATCGCCCTTGTTTTAGGTGGAAAGAGGAGAGGGAGAGAGAGAGAGAGAGAGAGAGAGAGGGAGAGAGAGGGAGGGAGGAGGGGGAGAGGGGGGGGGAAGATGAGAAACAGCACAGTGTCAAGGATGAGATGGAGTTAGATCCAGGTGTCTTCTGAGTCACTCATGGACTGGGCACCCTGTGAGACACCAGTGTCCACATGAAGCTGAATGTAATAAAAACCTAGTGACATTATATGTACAGCATCCTGCAAGTTACTCAAACCCGGCCCTCCATCTTCCCCCACCTCCAGCCTTCCAATCAAGCATGTCCCTAGGAAACTTCAATAAACATCCCCTCTGGGAAGGAAGAGGGGGTGCTAAGCAACACCAGGAGCCTTGTGGGGATGGACTGGGGGGTGGGTTGCAGGAGAGGTGGGAGGAGGGGGCAGACAAAGGAGACACAGATTCTTCCTATGCTTCTTTTCTAGTTGTTTTGAAATATATCATACTGTGTCCATACCATCATATAAATGTGTGTCAAATATGTTTTTAAAAATTAAGTTAAAAGACAATAGGGAACATGCCCGTGATCCCAGAAGCTCAGGAGGCTGAGGCAGGAGGATTGTGAGTTCAAAGCCAGCCTCAGCAGCTTACTGAGGACCTAAGCAACTCAGCGAGACCCTGTCTCTAAATAAAATATAAAAAAAGGGCTGGGGATGTGGCTCAGTGGTTAAGCACCCCTGGATACAATCCCCAGTATCAAGAGGAAAAAAAAAAAAAAGACAATGGAGAGAATCATCCAAGTGTGTAAAAAGAAAACATCTTGACCCCCCACGTTCTCACACTCATAGGGACTGGGGTCTACCAGCATCTAGGCAGAGCATTTATAATGTGCATATATTCCTATATCAACACTCAAAAATATTTTGATAGCTGTATTTCAACATAATTGGCTTCCTTTGCAACCTGTGTGTTTTATTCTGTGCACTTAACTGCATCATCCTAAGAAACCATCTCCAAGGCCCATGGCATTGAGCAGGTTAAGAAGTCTGCCCCAGGAGTTCACCTCAGGAAATCCCAATCCTCAGTCAATCACGATGTTTGCCACGACCTCAAACCAGACATTGTTCAACTAAAACATTTTTTAAATTAATTTTTTGCTGGGCAGAGTGGCACATGCCTGTCATCCCAGTGACTCAAGAGGCTGAGGCAGGAGGATCACAAGTTTGAGGCCAGCCTCAGCAACTTGGCAGGACCCTTTCTTAAAATGAAAAATAAAAAGGACTGGGGCATAGCTTAGTGGCAGCCCTGGGTTCCATCTCCAGTACCAAATAAAAAAATCATTAAATCAACTTACATTCAAAGTTTAGACTTACTATAAGCAATTGATATCTGTGAAATTAAATTACAGGCTTATGGTACTTACAGTTCCTCTAATGCAATTATAACAAATGCTTCCTTTAATTAAAATTGAAGAGTACACTTGACATGGCCTCATGTGCAAAGACCTACACAGAAAACATTCCCTAGGGTGGTGTGGAGCCCATTTCGTGCTGCAATCCTGTGAAGCTGGTCTCATTTCTGTCCCGGTATCATAGAATCGAAAACCGAGGCCCAGGAAAATGAGACACTTTGTCCAAGATCACAGAGCTAATGGCAGACACAACCAGCATTCCAACCCAGTCGCCCCCTGAGAATTTCTCTAGGGTCTCCTAATTACTTCTTTCAGTATTTAAAGCTTCCAGGGAGGAGTTCAGGGCTCCAGGCTCCCTGCTCCTGCCCCTGGGGGTTGTCACCATGCCCGCCCTGTGCCCGTGCCTTTGTTTGTCATGGGAAAGCTCAGAGCATCCAGGCGGGAACACGAGTGAGCCTTCCAAGTTTCCATGAGACAACAGGCTCCTCACGACACCCAGGGGTCTCCCAGCTGAGCTTCCCGGGGGGGCTTGTGCCATCACAGAACCAAAGTTGGAGCCATCCTGAGCGGCCACTCGTCAGCATCCAGCCAGGGGGGCCAAGAGGCTAAAAGGAATGAAATTAGCTTTCTAGCCCTGGCTTTGTGGTTTCAGCTATGTAATGGAAAAAGAAAGAAGAAGAAGAAGAAGAAGAAGAAGAAAGAAGAAGAAGAAGAAGAAGAAGAAGAAGAAGAAGAAGAAGAAGAAGAAGAAGAAGAAGAAGAAGAAGAAGAAGAAGAAGAAGAGGAGGAAGAAGAAAAATTACCCTCATAATAAAACACTACAAAAGTTGTCAAATCTCGCGGGCAATTCTATCTGGGTGAGCTGAGGTCAAGTGCTGGGCTGTCAGGGCTCCAAGAGGAAGGAGGGAAATCTCTTTGGGTTTTATATTTCTAATGAGGATGGTTTTTTTTTTTTTTTTT